TCTGCACCAAGACACGATGTAAATAAGATAGTACTAAAGAGAGAATTTTAAAAGCAGCAAGAGAAAAGAAAGCAGTTATATACAAGGGAAACCCCATAAGTTGATCAGTGGATTTTTCAACAGAAACTTTGCAGGCTGGAAGGGGGTGGCATGATAGAGTCAAAGAGCTAAAAGGAAAAAATCTGTAGCCAAGAATATTCTATCAGGCAAGGCTTTCATTCAAAATAGAAGGAGAGACAGAGTTTCCCAGAAAAAAAAAAAAAAGTTAAAGGAATTCATGACCAGGAGCAAAACCAGCCACATCCCCATCACACACAATGCCATTGGCCTGTGGGTCCCAAATCCACAGTCCAGCTGCCCTCCTGCCCAAGTCAGCATGCACTTCCTGCCATGTGCTCAATGCCAAGGCAACATGCCTTCACTTCAGATTGACAAGGACTCAAACTGACACTCTCTGCCTCAAATTCCAGCCCCTATGCTCAAGTTTGTGCACAAAAGTGGGCATAATTATAACAGCAGAATGAAGCAACCCAGTGACACTAATTCTGTGGAATATATAATGGATAAAAGGAGTGTACTAGACTGAGAACATCTCCAACAAACACATCGAAGAACAATACATACAGCATGATTCTGGTTACTAAAAGAAACAAACCCAGGAAAAATAAAACAAGACGAAATCAGAGAGGGAGATAAGCCATAAGAGACTCTTAATCATAGGAAACAAACTGAGGGTTGCTGGAGGGAAGGGGGGTAGAGGGATGGGGTAACTGGCTGAGGGGCATTAAGGGGAGAGCACATGATGTAATGACCACTGGGTGTTATATAAAACTGATGAATCACTGAACTCTACCCCTGAAACTAATAATACACTATATGTTAATTAATTGAATTTAAATTTTAAAAAAGTCCAAAACTGAAAAAAATTCATATCTACAAAATTTTATTTGGAAAATATGTAAAGAAAGAAAATGAAAAATGACCAACTGGGAATAAGATTTGCAACTTAATCTCAAAGAGTTAATATTTCTAATTAATAAATAGCTTTTAAAAATAGACAAGGAAATGACCAAGTTTTTATAAAAATTGGTTGCATTATGAACAGTTTACAGAAAAATAAATACAATGGGTCTCAATCATATGCTCAAATGTTCAACCTCCTCTATACTCAGAAAAAAGCAAATGAAAATACACTATATAGGTGTTTCACACATATCTATGTGATTGACAAAATCAGGTTCCACAATATACTTTGTTGAGGTCCTTAGGGAAATGAACACTTTCACCCTTTGTTGGTAGGAGAGCAAATTAGTACAGTCTCACTGTAGAGGAGAATGTGTCAATATTTAGGAAAAAATGCATATAAATTTACCCTTTAACAAAGCAATCCCTAATCTCAGAATCTACCACCAAAATAGGCAAAAAATTGAAAAACAATTTTCAAAAGGCTAGTCATATACTTCTTAGACTGTTAGACAAGATATTTTAAGAATATCTATATTATGGAATAAAGCAAATGAATCATCCTAATGGTATCATTAAGAACAAGGATTTTCCTCATGAAAGGAGGTAGAAGTGTAAGTGTGCTGAGATTAATAAAAAAATTGTAGTCCTGAATTTCAATTGGAAGTAGCAGTATGAATTTTTAATGAATTTTATCTTACTCAAAAAACAAAAATCCTGTACACACACTGAAAAGACCTAGATCCAATGACAGGCAGTAAGCATGAGGTTGGTTGATATTTAAATTATTTATATAATAAATATTTAAATTACATATATATATATATACACACACACATATATATATGCGCACACACACACACACAAAGAAGTGTCTGCCCTATGAGATACTAATCTGTAGTCTGAAAAGGAAAAATACAAATTCAAGCAAATTTGGGAAATTGTGAAATTTCTTCTTATAGATTATAATTTTCTCATAACATTAAATGCTTTGGGAAAGTCTGTCAGTAAAGAAATCTAAAAATACCCTCCCCCCTCTCATGCTCTATCTCATTCTCTCTCTCAAATAAATAAATAAAATCTTAAAAAAAAAAAATCTAGAAATATATAATGCAGTGTCTATCAGGAACCTTTTATTTTGCAGGGGAAAGGTTTGGGGTTGTAGAATTCCTCTTGTTTGTTCACTATAGAAATGTGCCATAGAAAACAATTTGGGAAATATTGCTGTGAAAGTGAAATGCAATCTGTGGATAATTATTCTTCATAAAGGATCAAGAGGTCTAGAGAGAGTTCTTGGAATCATGTGCTTAATGAATGCATAATTTAATACAAGTATTGTCTAGAATCTACTAACTACTAAATGCTGTGTTTGCTGTTGGGGATATAAGGGGAAAAAAAGAAAAAAAATTCTGGGAAACTGGTAGAACATTAAAATATAGTGCTACTATTAATTTTATAATAAAGATTTGAAATTTTTCATGAAAATCCTTAAATGTGATTGAGGGACTAAGTGTAGGCAACCATTGCATTGCACCAGGGAGAGAGAATTAAGTTGTGATGAGTGACAGCAGGAGGCAGGATGTTTCCAGCAAAGTCAAGAGCATGAGCAAATATAACTTAACATTAGAGTTGATGGTGTTTTCAGGAAAAAAAAAAAAAAAAAGCACTGTATCTGTCTGGAACAACAATAACAAAATTATAGGGAAAGGTTTGTGTAGGGTCAATGTAGTAAGGAGAATGTGGGCTTTGGGTTTGGACAAATCTGAGCTGTCATAATCACTCTACTTGTTTTTTTGTTGTTGTTTTGTTTTTTGGTTTTTTTTTTTTTTTGGAAATGTGCCATTTATTTTATTTTAAATTTTTTTTATTATGTTAATCACCATACATTACATCATTAGTTTTTGATGTCATGTTCCA